CTTCTGCCTCTGCCGCAGCCTCGCGTGGAGTCGCTTCCGCTACTGTGGCAGCCAAAGCAGCAGCCAAGGCGAAAGCAGTGCGAGTTACGGGGCATTTATGCAATAAACCCCGTTTATTATCTACCCGGCTCGCGCGTGTGGGCTCAATTTCAGGCACAAGACCGATTTCGGCCGCATTTGGGTTAATTAAAAAGGCTCGTTTCTCGCTTGCCATCCCCTTTTTTTCAGATGACTGTCGCCTCACCCTAACTGTCACTGTATACAAATTTTTTTAGTATTTTTCCGCTTCATGTGCTCGTGTCACGATTCGATTTATGTGCACTTTCGCGTTCTCACGCTTCCCTTCATTGGTTCCGTGTTTCCCTTTGTGGTTAGCCTTTTGATTGCCGCGTGATCCGCTGCTCTTCTCGGACCCGTTCTGATCTCGTATCTTCTTGCCCTCATACATCGTCATCTCTTCTGGCTCTCTTCACTGTTGACGCGTTGCGCTATTTGTACTGTGTTTTTTATGACACGGTCTCGCTATCTCATCTCTTTCTGCTGGGTTTCTTCTTTGTTCTCTCTCCTTCTCTCGTTTGTATCGCAGGTTCGCGTCTGTCTACACCCTGCGTTTTCTTCGATCCCTCCTTCGTACGTTTCTTCTTACGCGTCCTTCGCTCTCACCACAGCAAGTTGCGCCTCGCTCCGCGCCTCCCTTTCCGCCTCCTCTCGCGTCCGTGGGAAGCTTGTCGGGACCTAATGTGCACCCGCCCTTGGCTCCCCGTCTTGCTCTCGTACCACCATCATGTCTCATCTGTTCTTCTCGTCCGATGGCGTTAGTCTTGTTCCCATTTCTTCCACGCTCGACGTTGATTTGTCAGCTTAGATCCAGATTACTTGCACTGTTTCATGCAACAACGTTGACGGCATCCCGTCTGCTGATCCCACTCTCGCCACGCGCCCTCTTCGCTGTTATGAGTGCCGCCGAAAGAAGAAGGGCCAGTGCGTGCGAACTGAGGCGGGTCCGTGCACGTACGTTCTTATCTTGCGGTCGTTGATCCCTTCCTCACTTCTCTGGCAGTAGGTGTTTAGCTGGGGGTCTCCCTGTGTGCTGCGTATATCCCTTGCAGTCGTTTCAGGGGACCCGGAATGACCTGCCATCCTCGCGGGATTTGGTTCCTAACTCAAACGCTCGACGTCCGTGTTCGCAAGACTTGGTGTCGCATTCCTCATCTACTAAAGGGAAAAAACTTTTATTTTGCGATTGATGTATTACTTTTGTTGCCCTGTATTCATACCATTTTTCCTCGTCGTACACTTCCACTGGCGTGCGCGTTTGGGGCCTCCTATGTCATTACACGTGTCTGTCACGTGCTGTTGGTTAATCACGCTCGTTTGCCCCTTCTCTTCTTCTCTCTCAATCCGCTATCATGTCCTTATCCTCGAAATTTCCTACGGTAATATCATTACTGCCGTGTTATTATCTAGTACTTAGTGTCAACAGGACTCTGTCGTTCTTCAGGACTCTGCTGTCGTCGCTCTCGCACGCGGACTACAGCCGTACCTGCCCGCAGGACAAACTGTATCTACGCGCGACGGCCACGCCGTGCGTTCTCTTGGATGGATAATTCTCTCTCATTTGGACACGCGCTCTCGCGCATGCATCCTGGCGGAGCAGCGCCTTTGGGTCAACGATATTTGGACCTTTCCTTCTTGGCTCGCCATATCGACTATCGCCCGTAGGGCCGACTATCTCGGCGACCTTATCGATTTCGACCGCGTCTTCGCCACATTTTCGTCCACCCGCTCTTCCGCGGTGACTTCCGCGTCATCTTCACATGGAGATCTTTGCCAAGTTCTTCACCGCGCTGGCGTTCTATACTCCGGCACATCGCGTCTCTGCTTTGACGTCGGCGTGTCGTCGTTCTTGATTTCGCTTTTTCGCACTAGCGCGTTCACAGATCTCCACACGGTTCGCCTCTACGTGGCTTCTTCGACTTCTTTTCAGTCCTTCGTCCTTCCATGCCTGCGCATACTTCAATTATACGGCTCGCGGGACGTGCGCACCCGTCCGACTCTCGCTTGGAGGTCTTCACCTGTAATCCTTTCGTCAGCCCTCAAGGGCATCTTTGCGGGAACTCGCCTTGAGCGTCTTGAGCTTGAGGGTCTTGACGTCAAGGCAGACGCAGCCCGGGTTATTACCGACGCTGCTATTCGCGACGTTCAAATGAAGCTTCGTAAACCGTCCAGCGTAGCGGCTGTTTTGGATTGCTACCCCGAGAACCGCCCTTTTTCGAGGCACGTCATCTACAGCCGGCCGTCGTTTACGGAGCCGCTCCCAGGCTGGGTCTGGCGCTCTGCGTCAATGTACCCCGATCTTCCTTTAGCCGTCGTCTTTGAGGGTAGCCTGACTATGGCTTGGATTACTATACTCCCGATGGGAGATTGGCCAGACGCTGCCGCTCCGTATTTTCAAGAGGGCGCGGACTCCGCGGAGTACTACCCCCCCAAGCTGCACCAGCCTACTCTCATCGTTCGGTATCATCGCATATCCCGGCTTTACCTTCCTAATCACGGCACCTCCTACCTTGACGCTATGGTTGCAGACCTCCAGTCGTACTGCCTTCCCGTTGACGTTTTCATCGCAAGGGAGCTTCGCTTTACGTCGGATGGTCAAACTCCGTGGCTTCGTCGATCACGTCATTGCGGTCTTGCTTTACGGGCAATGCCCAACATATACCGACTTGTCATCGAAGACGAGCGTTTGGCAGATATTATCTTGGATGCACCTCCTTCGTGCACTCGTGCGGACTTTGTTTGCCGGTCTGATTGGTACGGCAGATCCGGGGTTTTGGACGCTTTGTCTGCCGCTAGAGAGCACCGCACGACTTCGTTGTGGCTTCGGGGTGCTTCTAGACAGTGCGATCAACACGTTGTTCAGCACCTATCGCACTCTGTCCCTCATTTCGTCGATGCGCGTCGTCCTACACACTTTCATGCGGCGTCGTCTCTCCTTCAGATGGAGTTAGAGACTGCGCAGGAGATCGTACGGTATCACGAGGTCCGTTATAGCTTATTATCTGCCGCTCATATCTTTAAAGCTGATCCAAGACGTAGATGAAGGACATGACCATCCGCTTCGAAATGACATTAACTTATTGACCCCCGCTCGTCCCCCTCTTTACGCATCGGCGCATTAAGCCCCGCCTCCCATCTGCTTTTCCGCTTCCAGTATCATCAAGTGCTGCTGCGCGTTGTTAGTCCTGATGTCCTGTGTAATAGTTGGATTGCAATATTCACCTTTGCCGATGCCAGTTTGTCTTGGTTTACCTGTAGATCTAACTCAAACCCGCGCAGGTTTCTTTGCCCTGCCTTACATGAGCGAGCGTCTCTTTCGTCCAGAACGTCCCAGTTATCCTCTTCACTCAACATCCTCACGGCTTTCTCGTCATGTTCTCTCCTCACGCCTTTGAGAGTGATCTTCAAGCGTTCCCTGCTCTGCCCTGCCGCCTTGCCGATGCCTCGTCGGAGAAGGGTATGGTCGGTCTTTCCCAGCCACTCTTGTCTGAAGACTATGGTGATGTCTTTAAGATGCGGACTGTTGATGTACGAGGTTAGCACGACGGCAAGTCTCTCGTCTTCGATTTCAACGGCCGTCAGGTCGTTCAGCCCTTTCACGAAGTCGATGTGAACTGTTTGCATTTGCCAGACGCTGACCCCGTTGTACTGGCGCGTTAACTCTCGCACGACGAGATGGGTGATGGCGTGAGTGTTGACGCCAAGGTAAGCGTCCACTTGCGACCGCTCGTTTCCGGCTGCCTTTCGCGACACCGCGTGATGTCTGAGTAGGAAATTGGCGCTGCCGTTGATTTCTGCATCCACGCATGCAGAGGGTGTGAAAGAGATGTGCCCTCCGTCGCCAGTATTTGACAAGTCCTGGAAACCATCGCAGAAACGCGGACGGGGCACGTTGTCGCTGTTTGCAGGACATAAAGTAGTCCACTGCACGAGGCGCGATACCTCGAAGACGGCCAAGACGTGTTCGGTGTTGTTTATGCCGGCCAAGGTCAGAGCCTGGGCTGGAACAACGACTCCATCTACATTGGATGCAATGCGATACCGGCATCGAGGGTCTGAAGATAGATGCGATGCAAAGCGAGAGATGTCCGTCAGGTTTGGCCCTCTGAGCTCAGCGAGGCGCAGGCAGTTTAGAGTGATGCCATTACTCTCTATGTTCTCCAACCCAGTGAGCCTGAGAGCGTCGATGACGAGGACTTCCAGGCGTGTGTGCATGCCAAGACAGTCGAGTAGTCTCTGCGCATCGAAGACGGGACCCTGTCTCCACGTCGAGGTCGATTTGTATTGCGTCTCAAATCCGTTGTCTGCTTCCACGTGTACTTCATGATTCCTGACGGTGAGAACCTCGAGATACGTGAGTTTGGAGTCCAGGATGCTGGGGACGTCCTCGTTCGTCGACACGTGGTACGTGAGCTTCTTAAGGTGCTGGTACACTCCAAAGTGGAACGCTGAAGACCACCTGGCTGGGCTGACGTGATGTAGAACGTTGAAGGGTGCTATGTGGGGGTCGTCCCTAAGTAATGAGCTGACGATCGTCTTTGCGCTTTTAAGAAACGCGCCATGGTTTTCCATTATCAGCGCCAGGGAGCGGGTATCGTTTTTGACGTAGCACGCCTTAAGGAGGTGATCGATATCTATCGTTAGAGGTGCTCTGCGCGCTCGTTGCGCAAACTCCTCTACGGCTTCCACGCTCGCGAATGCGCACACGTTGTCTGCCCACAGACTGCGGGCCTCGAGACCAGCCTGGCGCCATGCGTGATTGACTTGCATAAGTCTCATCCAGCCAATGTCTACGTGCGGGGTGGTGTATGATATCGTGACCGGCTCTTGCTTTGCCGTCCACTGGTACACTTCCATTCGCAGCTCTGCGGGTATTAGAGTCTGTTCCTGTTGTCCGTTGGCGCAGCTCCTATACTCATCACAAGACAGTGACGTACCTCAAGCCCAGATGAGTCTCTTGATACGGCTTCTTCATCGCGTTGCATTGCTGTGTAGTACTGCCGATCGGTCAATGTGGTTGGAGTTTGAGAACCTGAGCGCTGATCTCGACCTGCGATCACGTGTTAATTCTCACGTCGGTCGCGAGACCGTCTCGCGACCGACTGCACGTGGCACATGTCGTTCTCTGATACCGCCTTTACGCTTCCTTGAACCTTACTAGCTGCCGTTTCTTTTTCTCTTATTGTCTTGCGCTGATCCTGATGATGTTTATTGGGCCCTTATTTCGTGTTCTAGCGCAGGGTGGCCTTGCTGGCGATGTAGACTGAGACGCGCGCCCTTTCTTACTTCAAGGCCTAGTACGTTGCTTGTCATTGCGTTCCAGTTTATGATCTTGCATGTAGTTCTCTCGTATCTTTGGGCTTTTGTTTGAGCGTGGGTACGGTCTGTACTCACGTGCGAGGTGGAGGATCCCGTGCTTATAATCCCGCCGCGCGCTTCCGCTCAGCGCTATCACTCAGCCCCTTACTCCCATCTCAGCCACCTCATACGATGACCCAGACTTTCATAATTCCGGACGGTATGATCTATGCATGACTTCGGTTGCTGTGGCTGACTCTCGGCAGGTTATTTCATTGGCCGTAAAGGCAAGCTTTTGTTGAAGGGCACTGGACAGTACGTCGCGTACGGCGTCCGCGGAGGCCGTCACGGCACGCGCGTTGTGGCCGATCAGTACGCCCCCAATTTCGATCCCGCTCTCGCTTTGTCACTTACATGCGAAGTAGCGCCGCAATGGTCGCCGATACATCCGGGATTTCTGGGGCGGCGGGAAGAGGCTTTGATTCCGTTGCGGAGGCGCAGGAGTGGTGTGATAGGCACATTCTCGAGGTGAACCCGGGTCGCATCTCCGAGCTTCGGGTGGAGCTGGAACGTTTCCAATCCGAGCTTCACGGCGCTCAGTCTCGCATGTAATTCCGTCAGTGTCGTACAAGTGATCGAACAGGGGTTTGAACGGCGCCCGTTTCCCAATCGAGTTAAATTGCGGCGGATCAGTCTGCTGCCGCATGCGTGAAATAAGCATCCACCACTTTGACGCCCATTCTTTCAGTCGGGGTCATAAGGGAACCTTTCGACCCTTGACTTACGATTTTTGTATCCGAAGCCGATGGTCGCGAATCGAAGCGCAAGAGGGTTGAGTTATATAGAGCGTAGGGCGTCCTACCGGTCTTGAGTCGCCGCTATGTTCGCTGAGGATCGGCTTCTTCCACCGCAAACTATCCGCGCTCTGTACCCGTACTGTCCCTTCTCTGGTTTTGAGCCCAGGCCTGAGCGCTTGACGTTGTCTGGAACCGACGTCGGCTGCGTGGTCGAGAACGTCTTGAACAGTTACAAGCGTTTTCACGTCCACCCCGATGACTTGTACGTCTTTCGGCGCATCTCCCGAACTCGATTCTGTGCTGACACTTCAAGTATCCTGGTTTTGAACGACGGAACTCAGCTTGAATCGAAGATACGTTTTCCCGTCGATGCACAATGGTCGACTGCGTGGGTAGCGCAGGTGACTCACATCACGTCTGTGGATCATCGGGTGCGCCTTGTACCTCAGTTATAATTACACTTGCTAACCGGTTTTAGGAAGCAGACGTTACTGTGAGATGGACGTACTCAGCTCATGAGCTTCAGAGGTTGCAGAGAAAAGGCTCTCTGTCGCCGGCTGTGGGGTTCGCATCATGACTCCACCTTTTTAGTGTTTCTGCTGTTAACTCTTTTTTGCAGTCGCGTTGATTTAGACCCGTGGGCTCGCGTTCTTACCGACCATACCGACACCATATCTTCCACCACTATTGCATGTGCGTTTACGCCTCCCTGTCATGTACGTTTGTTTTTAATGTGCTTTATACAGCCGTCCTGGACCTTTACCCCAGTAAGAGTGAGACGCACATTTATCTCAAGAAGTGGTCTTTGAGATGGAATGCGAATGAAGTGAGCGGCAAGCTCCTGCATACTACGCGCTGTTACTGACGTTTATTTGTAGTCTCTTTTTTCGCCGTGTCGCTTGTCGCTATAGTCTAATCCGCGTTCTCTACCTCAGCCTCTCCCCGCACACTTCTGATTGTAGTCTCTGTGAGGCCGACCAAAACCATGACGTCTGTAGGCGGTTCCTTCAGCCATCCCGTGCAGTGGAGTGATGTGCATAGGCACTGATCTTCGGGAGGTGCGCTTGACTGCGTCCGGAGAATGTACCGCTCCGTCTATAACGATCAGATCACGGCTACATGGCAGAGAACAAAGTTCTACCTTCGTAAGCTTGTCGCAATCCCAGTATGAGAATGTAAGTTCTTCCCCACATTTGATTCTGCGCCTCGCCCTCAACGCGACCACTGGCCAAGTGTTATCCTCAGGCCCATACTTAACCTTGACCGGCTCTAAATTTCCATCGCAGCTGTGGTTCTAGTGCCGTATCAGCTCATTATACTTCTATTTTGTCTCTGTGCGTACTATGTATCGCGTAAGCTGGGTTTTGGTTAGAACTTTGTCTATAACGTCAACGGGGCGCCTTACGTTTCCTTCAGGCTCTCCATCTATGAACGTGCGCTCGCGCCACACATTTGCGGCGGCGCATTCGCGGCAGCACTGCCTGTCGTTCATGCTTCCTGATGAGATCAGGTATGGCATGCGTACTCCGGTGCCCACGCCCGTTACCGTGTCTCGGATCGCGCTCCATTCGTCTAGTGCTGCAGCGTCCCTCAGGGACTTCTTCGACTCCCAAGTCCTTCCCCGGTGTCCCTTCCATGTCACGACGTATCTCTGGAACGTTTCGTTATCTTCTGGACCTTCAGTGGCGCGTCAGGCTGCGTTAACGTGCGTCGTCGTGTGTGCTCACTTTCGCTGATTCCAAGTAGGTCGTATTTCATGTGCAAGTGATCGATCTGTCCGACATATTCTCCCTCTATACGATTGATCTCCCATTCAACTTCTTCATCTTCGCTTCGGTTTCCTGCAGACGGCGGTCCTCTGTCGCTTTTCATCAGTTAGTCTCCGGGTTCGTACCAGACTACTAACGCGGCTGAACAGTTCTCATCGTGGACAGCTCCGGTATCTCTGCATATCATAAGTCTACAACGGTGTTGAGCGTTTTTCAGAAACATGTCTGATTATCCTTACCCGTCGTTTACCATGATTTCGGTTTCTGTCCTCCAGGTACCCGTATACAGTGCCACCATTTGCCCTCTACGAAAACCGGCTTCCCCGCTGATTATTCCTGCCACGACTTCAGTATACAACCTCCTGTTTGACATTGGTGCTCCTACCGTAGCCGCGATCGGGCGTTTCTCGCAAATGCATGTTATCGTAATCCAAGTCCGGGATCTGCAGTGTGCGTCAGAGACCATATGAGCATCGCTCATGCTTACTGGCCTTATTTGTACAGTTTTGTCTGCACCCACATACGTCTGAGCACCACCCGTTTGCTGTTGCACATGCGCATGTCGTATTTCTTCCGCATCGTGCGTTTTTCCTGCATTTACAGCCCGCGGTGGTGCCCCCGCGCGGCTCCATACGCTCCTTGAATCGAGCTCCTCCAGGCAGGAAGTCGGCGGTATTATCAGTCAGCGGCATAGCACGAGGTGATGGTGAGTGTCATGTTCACATTCACGCCTGCGCAGTTGCTTGCATGCATGGGTGATTGCCGGGCATAGGCGCTCGTCGGTTGCGAGAGCGTCTCGCTGCGTCGTGGGAATTATTCCGCAAGCTCACGTGTTCTCGTCTTCGCGCTAACGTTCGCCACCCATGCCTTGTCTCTTGACTTCATCTTGCGCTCATTGTCTTTGCGGTCTCACTCACCATGGCGCCTAAAAAGTCTGATAAGCCTCAGAGCGACTCGCCTTACGTCGCGTCCAACATCTTTGCCGATACCCAAGTCTCGAAGCTGGCGGAGGAGTTCCGTACCAAGCGTCCGGTCTTGCGATGCGTCTCAAGCCTTCTGCCGAAGCTTCCCTTCCATTCTTCTGCGATATACAAGCAGCCTCGCTTGTATGATTGGCTATGTAACAATACGGAGCCCGTGTCGCGCGACGGGGACTTTCTCTTTGTGCGGTCATTTTTAACGCTTGTGGTTTCACACTCAAATTCTTATTATAGGAATTTGCGAGATATCTTGACTGGTGGGAGCGTTCTGCGGTCTACTCGGATCCACCTGAGGGACGGGATCGCCGTAAGAATAAGGAGATACGGCTTTTGATCAGACGTTTTGGGCTGGGGGAGGATGTGGCGTCGCCTGCTCCCGACCAGTTTCTGGCCATCAATGGTCAGGCCGGATTGACCTGGACGGACACGCATCAGTGGCTGTTCCTGCTCCGGTGGTTCGACATTCTAGCTAAGCTTCGTAATGTTGAGGACCCCACGTTTGATCGTCGTCCTCCTCTTCCGAGTCGCTTCATATACCTGGCTAGTCGTTTAACACCGGTGCGCCATCCCTCTTGTGGTTACTTATCGGTGTATTGAGTTTTTATAGATCTGGCTTTCTATGCGGCTTGACTGGCAGCTCGCTGTGAAGGACGCTTGTACGATCATTCGGGCGGCGCACGGTGTTGTCGATGGTGACTCCGGGTCATCGTTCTTGGAGATCACGAACTCAGTCGCTTCTGCGGACACGGCGACGGTCGCCACTGCTAGCCCTTATGGACGCGCTCCTGCATGGGTTCGCTACTCGTCGACGGCAGAGGAGGCAGCTCAAGCTCAAGAGGTTGCTCGAGAAGTTGTTGCGAAGCAGGCCATGTCTCTTGACGCTGTCTTCGCAAAGTTTGACCAGATGTCTTTGACGTCCGCCTTCGACCGCCTCATTCCTCAGGTCAAGTCCGCTGAGGATCAAAATCAGTATATCGCCATTACGATCAACATTCAGATGGCGGCGCTGGTGGTCAATTACATCCAAACTGTGGGCTTAACTATTGGTCCAGTTATCCTATTTTGCTTAATTCTGCGCAGAACGTTCGAGAGGGCGTGGAGAATTTTCAGTTGCGCGACATTACATCTCGTGTCCCTGCGTCAGTTATTTTTTTTTTTTATGCACTGCTTCTGATGGCTTGGCTAGCGAGATGAAAGCGGACTGGAAGACTGCGCGATACATATACCAGCCCTTCGTCATCATGATCATGTACTCGCCGCTATTCGTTTTGGCAAAGAGTCGTTTATACTCCTCTCCGCTTCCTTCGTTCTCTCATGCCCTCGAGGTGCGGTTTATTTTTTTTCTAACTGTTCTTCGCGCTGACTCTTTTTTTACTAGATATTCAAAGCGATGGGTAATGTAGGCAAGCCACCGGCCTTAGAAGCTCTGGAGTCCAGTATCTGGGCGATGGTTTTGCAGGTCGCTCACGGTTCTGCCGTTGCTGATGTACTGCCCGTCTACGTCTCCGCTTGGTATAACTCGATCGGAATAGACGCGGTGACTGAATGTAAGTCCTGGCTGGACGACCTTGGATCGAAAGGTGCGTCAGCTTTAACGGTGTTTCTGGTTTTTCGGCTGATCTTTCTTTGCAGCTGCTGCTCCTTCGGATGCGCGTATTCAGGATTGGAGCGATGAGGACGAGATTAAGGTTGTTCGGGACTTCACTGCTCAGCGCGACGAACTTCGGGATTGGAAGCCTGACGTTCTGAACATGAACGGCAAGCGCCGCGCTTCTAGCCCCCCTGTACACCCTCCTGCCAAGCGCTCGGTAAGGCTTCTTGTTTTCACGTTTTTTATGCATATTCTAATTGAATTTTTGCTTAGGCTAAGAAGAAGGGGGCAAGCAAACGGGAGCCCTCGCGTCCTCGTTCTGCCCGAAAGGACAACTCGACTCGCGGTTCTCGCAGCGCTGGTGCGGGGGGCGTAGACGACGCCGATGCAAGCGACGCACGCTCTGCGCGGTCGAAGCGTCGTGGGGAAGCGAATGCGCAACCTCGCGTTGCTAAAGGCGGTCAATCTGAGCGCGTCAATGATAAGTCTCGTAGCAACAAGCACAAGGCCGGCAGGGCGGGTCGTGGCAAGGGCGCACCGCAAGACGAGGACGCGCAGTCTGACGAAGACGTTCAGCCTGACAAGGACGCGCAGCGTGACGGAGACGTTCAGCCTGACGAGGACGCGCAGCCTGACGGAGACGTTGAGCCTGATGATGATGTGCAGCATGAAGATGATGTGCAACCCGAGGCCGATGTTCGGACTCGCGGGTCTCAGCGGCGGGACGGTGATATGCAGGATAATGAGGATAATGAGGACGAGGATGGCGATGACCTATTTCGTGGGCGGCTTTCTCCTCTTCCTGATGAGGCGCGCTCGCGAGACGGTAAGCATTTGTCATTCGGATCTGATTCTTTGCCTTACGCCATTGTCAGGCTCTACAGGGGCTAACCATCAAGGAGACAACCGGCCGTCATCTCCAATGAATGTCGATGGTCGTTCAGTGGAGGCTCGCGCTGAGAAAGACGCTCATGCTGTTGACCCTCCTCGCAAGGGTGCCAAAGCATCTAAGGCTTCAAAGAAGTCTCGGGTTCGCGGTCTCTGTTTTGCTAGCGTCTCACTTGACTGATAGTTTTATGAGCAGACACCTTACGTTGCTCAGCCTGTTACTGTTCCTGTTTGGACTTCTTCTGGTTTGGTCGAGAGAACGTGGTCGCCTGTTCGTCAGCCTACGGTACGCTGAAATGTTTTGTTTTCACATTGTTCTGCGCTTACTTGCATTATTAGCATCGCCTTTTTTCTCTGCTCTCTGAGCATACCGTGACTTCTTATGCTCCCGGGGATAGCGCGGGCGGTCTCAAGGTCTTTTGTGCTGATGATTTCGCTCGCCTTTCTTCTCAAGAGGTCCAGCGTATATTCCAGACGCATAGTATCCTTGTGCGCGGCAACACGGTGGACCCCTTCTGGGAGTGGGGTCTGGCCCCATTTGCGGCTATGCGCCCTATCGCTGGCACTGTCGTTCAAGTTCAGGGTTCGTACCGTTCTTTGGTGTCGCTCTCTCATCACTCGTGGCTGATTGTCATGATCGTGTAGATCCGGTCGCTTCGTATGAGTCCGATGGATTTAACACGATCTCAGTCACAATTCCGGACCTCGTTAGGGCGGGGCGAGAAGACACGGCTAAACGATGGAACTGCCTTGATTTGCCAATGGGTCTGGAGCGTCTGTCCCATATACCTCACGTTGCCGACCATGGGTTCGTGGTTTCGTAATGTCTGCTGTGTTTTTAAAGCACTGATGTGCAATCTGATAGTCCGTTTAATATTTTGCTGCACGCGTATAAGGTTTCGGGACAGGAGCCTGACGCTTACGAGGAGGGAGAGTACGCGCAAAACATGGCTAAACTGCACTGGGCTTTGGCCGGTGTCGCGGGCGCGGACACCATGCAGCACATGGACGTCGGTGGATTTGCAACTACGGTCCACGTACTGTCTGGGGAGAAGATCTGGGCAATTGGCAGTCGCAGGGATGGGCGTCCGTTTCCAAACGACTCGAACTGCTTGCTCAAGGAGGAAAAGAGAGCTGATTGGCACTCCTTCGACAAGGATGATATTCGCTGGGAGACTTTCCTACTTTCTGCTGGAGATATATTGTAAGCCTTTTGCTTGCTACTTTTCCTCGTCTAACGCGTCAATTCAGGTATATGCGGCCGTCTCCCCATATGGTTCACACCGTCTCCAGTTCGATCTGCTTCGGAGAGTATTTCTTAACCCCGCAAACGCTCGTTGACCACGTGTCTTCCTACGCCGTAACCCGCTTGGCGAACCTTGTCGTCACCAACGATGTCTTCCAGTCTGGCCCAGTCCTCTTAGCGATCGCTTCATGGTGGTGGAACGGGGACCTGGGGTGCGATGACGATTGTCATGACCCGATAGGTGGGTGTCGTGTGTTCGCTTCTGCAATTCTTCTGTTACTTACCCCGTAAACCTATAGCTCGCGCTTCTCGACCTGCTCTCGATGACAACCCCGCGGTATACGTCGCCCTTCTCGCCCTTTACGTTTTTCAGACCACCCTCGCGGTTGACACGTATGAGTCGGACGAAGCTGCTGAGCTTGGAGTCACTATGGATGTAGTCGGCGATCGTCTTTATCGCGAGCCATGCGCACAGCTGCACGAGTGGGTGCTTCGTCAGGGTATCGTTGCTCGTGCAGGGGAGGACGTCGATCCTGAGATGGACGACGACGACCGCGTCGAACTCCTTCGCGACATCATTCTAGACTTTGGCCGGGGACTGCACGTCATGGCTGTGGCGCATGCAAGTACCGAGCCCAAGTTCTGCATGGCTCCTCTCATCTCTCGTCTGGAGCAAGACGCTCTAGCCGCGTATGGCGCGCCTCTGAAATCTTGGTTAGATATGCTGGACTACGATCGTCGCCCCCTCATACCAGATGTTCAATTTGTGCTCTCGCCTCGTCCTGACATTGAATTTGATTTTGAGGATTGAATATGTGTTACCTGTGCTTTTGAATGTGTGTATCTACCATCTGTTTTACGCTGTATTTGTATGATGTTATCAATGCTGTCGCGTGTTCCTGCATGTGGTGACTGATCCCGTCTGGTGCACCTGAGACAGGGGCTCGCGCCTTTGCTATATAGATAGGTGCGTTCGGGTCTGATTCACCATCCGCGTCTGCATCCAATCTCATTGTGTGTGTCAATCCCCTCTACCCCGAGCGAGCCTGACACTTTATTGCAGCCACACGATCATGGCTCCCTCAGCGCTGTCACTTCCCGAGCTTTTAGAGCAAATTTTCCGACACTTCGACGCTAGAACTCTTCTCGCAGTTGGAAGAGTGTCGACGCTGTTCAACACCATGGCTCAGGAGGAGTGGCGCTACCGCGTTCACAAGTATACCGGTCCTTTTGTTACCGACGTCAACCACTTCTACTTTATACTGGGAGGAGTTGAAGGAGTCGTATCCGGCTCCACGGCTCTCGCCGTCATCCTGCGAGGTTCTCCTTTCGGAGATTTCCTGAGTCCTACGTCGGATTTGGACATCTATGTCCCCAGTCAGGCTGCGAGCGACGAGATGGTTCGGTACTTTGCTGAATTTGAAGGGTACCAAGTCGACTCAACAACTGTCGCATCGGGAGACCACGTCATGAAACGCAAACCTGAGTCGATCGTGTCGCTGACTCGCTTACGGAGGGTCAAGGACGATCTGGTGCGCTCCGTCGACATTATCGTTGGCGCAAAGGATGCCGCGACTACGCCGCTCTTCTCCTTTTGGGGTTCGCTTGTTATGAACTATATCTCGGCCACATCCGTCGTGTGTTCGTACCCTCGCCTTACCCTCGACGGTCGCTTCTTTGTTCGACCTGGCGTGGCGAGATCTTCTATCGCCGAGCCGTTGGATAAGTACCGGTCGCGAGGATTCATCAGCGCTCTCCACAGAGGCCACTCTGCTGGTTGCAAGTCCCTTCAATCGTACTGCCCTGGAAGGTTCAGACACACAGAGGATCCTGCTTCCATGCGGGTGGATTGGCAATCTCGTCCGGGATATACGCTGCCGTACTGCGTTAAGTCCCCAAGCAGCGTACCGGCGGCTTATTGGAAATGGGAAACGTGTTCATTTGTCAAGTACGATCTGCCGTACGAGGAGATATCTAAGGACGGCTGCGCAGTTGGAAGACTGTAGAGTAGCGTATTTTATTTGTAATTGAACGGGGATTACATGTTCAAATTGCGGCGGTTCTCGTATCCAGCTCTTCAGAATTCCTCATCCAGAGATCTGTTTCCTATTCAGCGGGGCACGCATAGAAAATATCAGAGTACGTACAAGGCCCTGAGGGAGCTCTCTGTTTCCAGGGTCCTCCTTGAGTAGTCGGACACTCGTTTCTCGAAAAAGTTTGTCTTCCCTTCGATGGAGATCATGTCCATGAAATCGAAAGGGTTAGCGCTTGCGTATATCTTGTCATAGCCAAGAGCGCATGCGAGTCTGTCCGTGACGTATTCAATATACGTGCACATCATTTCTCTGTTCATGCCTATCAGCCCTACTGGGAGTGCCTCTATATTTTCAATGTCTTATGTTAGTAGGTCATGAAATGGGAACGAAAGTGCGCGTACCGGTGAGGAACCGCTTTTCTATTTCGACCGCGTGTGATAGTATAGAATGCACGACGCGCATATCAGGTCGCGTAGACAGGTTTGAGAATATAAGGCAGGCAAACTCGGTATGAAGCCCTTCGTCGCGGCTGATGAGTTCGTTTGAAAACGTGAGGCCGGGCATTAGGCCGCGTTTCTTGAGCCAGAATATCGCAGCGAAGGAGCCAGAGAAGAATATCCCTTCAACAGCTGCGAAAGCGACGAGTCTGACGGCGAAGGAAGTGTTGGGATCCTGTATCCATTTCTGCGCCCATGCTGCCTTCTCCGCGACGGTACGCATGGTGCGCTGTGCTGAGAGCAGCCTCTGTTTCTCCTTCGAGTCTTGAATATAAGTCTCAATGAGCAGCGAGTACGTCTCCGAGTGGACATTCTCCATCATAATCTGGAATCCGTAGAAGCAACGAGCTTCGGGAACTTGGATCTCTGCGCAGAAGCGCTCGACCAAGTTCTCGATCACTATTCCGTCGGATGCTGCAAAAAAGGCTAGAACGTGCGAGATAAACAGCCGCTCTCCGTCGTTGAGCCTGTTCTTCCAGTCTTGAAGATCTTTAGACAGGTCTATTTCCTCGACAGTCCAAAAAGACGCCTGGGCTGTCTTGTACATCTTCCAAATCTAGATTGCTCATCTTCAGTCGTGCCCTTCGGGGTTAACGTCGTGATTTGGCACACCTCTGGATATTGGATCGGGAAGAGCACGAAACGCTTGTCCGTCAAGGCCAACATGGGCTCTACAAAGGGTCATTTCTGGAGAAGATGTTGGATCGTCAGAAGCACCCACCATTGTGTTCACGATAGTCACTCGCGCTTGTCATGATGTTCAGACCGCGAGGTGGAGTTGTAGGGGTGCTTGGTGTGCCTGCAAACCTACGAGCGGCTCTTGTGAAGTAAATGTTGTGAATTAAGGGGCTACGAATTTAAAGTTCGCTTGATATTTCTGTCCTAAAACCAGAGCGGGAAGCTTTTCTGCACGCTGGATGGTTTATTGACGTACACAGGTTTCATGTGCATGTCGTACTGAGACAGGGTGTCACGGCCGCCGTAGCGTTTTCCCGACTGCGGGCTCTTCTGAGGAATCGCATCGAGTACGTATAGCTCCGCCTTAACAAGGCTATGGGGATGCCCGCGATAGCGCGTGCGGATGCATCCATTGTCTCGTTTCACCTCCGGGCCTGGTTGCTCCGGCTCACGCACAGTCTTCTCCTCCGATCACCGGGTCTCATGTTTACTTCCTTTTCACTTGTAACACACATTAAGCGGTGTCGATCTTTTTGCTTAAGCGGACGGCGGGCGTTCCCTTTTGCGCGGCACCCGGATCTTCTTTGGACCCCATAATCTTTGGGATGGTTGCGCATTCGGGGCTGTCATTTGATGCCGTATCATTTGCTGGACACGCATTTGTCAGGCAAGAACTGTGGGTTGTGCGCTGAAGTTGTGCGCTCTTGTCTTGACGATTTTTAGGCCCTCGATTTTAGCGCAATGCGATGTCAAGCTCAATGTTGACATTCGCGACTTCCCCTGTCTTCCGCGGCGTCCTCAGCTTGGCGACGTGTCAGCTTCGCTGCTCCTCTGTCGTAGGTGAATGCTGACTGAACGACAGTGTATATATCAAATGGGAACCGACGCCTTACAACCCAGAAGAAAGATACGATTTAGCAGTGTTGGTGTGGGTAGAATCAGATGATGCGAAAGCTGAACTTGGAGAGGAACCTCTGGTGTGTACGCTGAGCTAGGCGCACCGCCCACTCCTGATTTTTACAGTGTGGAATTTATTTCATATATACTAAGAAGGACATTATTACTCTGCTCGAAGCCGGAAACGTCAGCAACGCGTTGTATGTGCGACCTTTTGGAGCAACTTCACCGCCGATATCTGATACAGATCTACAGCATAGGTCAGAACTTCGACGAGGTGCCCGATGATTTCGCCTGGATCTCTGACGAATTCGGAATCATCTCGGCTGACGATATTCTCAGTCAGTGTCTTGTGCAGCGTCGTGTATTCCATGCTGATTGTTCACAGCTGTTCCTTCGACGGACGAACTCCGCCCAATCGCCAACTGCGTTCTCGAGTCCCTTTATCTTCACGTTGACGAAGTGATGTGTATTTACGAGCTGCGATCCTGTGATTGACAATGCCGGGTGAGAGCTCAGTGGTTCGGCGCCGAATTCACGTGACCCAGTCGCTCGCGAGACGGTCTCGCGAAGTGTGGGAACATTCTACCATTTATGGAAATTCGTCTTCGCGCGCGGTTGCTTGGCATTGCCCATAGGCCACTTAAAATAATCACGTACGAAAAATTGTATAGAACATGGAAATAACTAAGAAGAGCTGTTCGCCCCTTCGCTGCGGTCGCCGTTCATCGTGCCAGTCGAAGGTCTGGTGTTGAGTCTTCCGAATCTCTCGACTATGCCGCCCGCTGCCCCTTCTCCCGATTCATTCTGACCTTCATTCTGTTCCTCTCTCTCGTCTCTCATACGGACATCTGCCATAGTGAACGGATTCTTCTTGTTCGATACCCACTGGGGTAGGCTCGCTGAGCGCTTGAGTCCCCCTCCGGGCTTCGGTGTGTTGTTGTAATCGCTGATGCGGGCTTTGAAGACATAGGCCTATGCAAGAGCGTGTGTCAGATGATGAGATGCACCGACATAAGACGTTTTCCTGACCTTGTAGACGTCATCACTGACGGCTAAGACATTCCTCAACTTGAGAATGACCTTGAAGCCTCTCTTCACCGTTGGCACTACACAAGGCGCGACTTGAACGCATACGATCATGCCAACCTTCAACTCCTCTGGTAAGCATGATTCAATTGTGAGGTCGCCGGTTCTACGTGAAAGTCAGCCCGGTGGTTTGCGTGTTCAAGGGTAAACGTACTCGGTGCGGCCGGTTATCTTCGCGTATGTGATCGAGTTATCTTCGACGTAGCGGTAGTTAGGCGAGGAAAGTAGATTTGTTTTGATGATGCCGTTCGGATCTTGACCAGGACCGATGTCCACGTCCTGAACGCCGTCGGGCACCTGCTCCACCTTAGAGACGATGCGGTTCTCGCATGTTATAGCTGGCTGTCCGGCGACTACGGCAACGGGAATCTTGTCCATGCCGTCGTACATGAGGCTGAACTGAGTTCGGATATTCTCGAATCCAACGCGAGTTGCCTCGTAAGTCGAGTGGCCGTACCAGGCGAGAGATACGCGATTGACTGGAATGTCCTTCTTGCCGCGGCGAGTTTGGAAAAGCCTGATGAAGGGTCTCAGCTGTGTGGTTGTCAACGTAATACTGACGTACGACTTCGTGTCCCGGTAAGGTGGGAGGCTGGCGTCTACTAGAACAGCGGTCAAAGATACTATGGTCTCCGTGGTAGAGTCCTTCTTCATGGCAAGGTAACCGACGCCGCGGTCGTCCTTTACGACTACCGTTTCTTCGAGCAAAAGAGACTCCTGAACGGGCTATGTTTGAGAGCCCCAGTTGACAGCATCTGTAATCAGCACGAACCTTGCTGTAGCGCCCCAGATCGCAATGACCACCTCCTCTATCGAAGAATGCTGTGATAGCACTATGGATGCCCGCCTTTGCGGGTGGGTCGTTATAGTAGTCCAAAACCAGTGAATCTGTCGCCATGAAGGGAGTGTTTGCGAGTTACGGACTTCGGGTGAAGGTGAGAGGAACGGGGGGGGGCACTTCCTCCTTCTTTTGTGACGCGCATTGTTCCGGTCATTCGGGCCCTGTTTCTTGTTCCTCAGGCGAGACTGAGTTCACATGTCGACTTGGTCGACTTTCGCGCCGCGGCCCTGATCGTCGTTGTGCATCCGGGTGCGCGTCTGTCGGAATGTCTTAAGTTTTCTTCCTTCGGCACTAGACCCCGATCTGGAGCTGCGCTCCGTGTCGGAAGATTCTCTTATTTTCTTGTTTACCTGAGCTTGCCGCAATCATGGGGTGGGGCCGTATTCTTGCGCCTTTCCTCGCACTATATAAGTTGAACCCCCATCTACCTCTTGACCCGCGATTGGTTCTAGTCGACGCGCATTGCTCATCATGCCTCCTCGTCCTCGACCCGTACAGGCCAAGTTAGTCTAACCCTGACCCTTGTAAACTCGTTGTGCTGATTTTTTTTTCTGCAGGGAATCTGGTGGGACAGCAGATGACGACGACGGTGTAGCTACGCGTAGTCATCGGCGTAAAGAGTGAGTTCTGCCTTGAACCTCGCGGTCTTGGCGCCTGGTTGACTTACTTATTTCAGATACGACATGTCTCCCAATGGCTATAATTCAGATGGAGTAGAACAGGACGGAGACAGTGATCATCGCTCCTTTGATCCGTACGTTCTACGTCCTCTATTTATGACAGCGTGAATCGATGTCCTCTCAGAACTCGCGGTTCCGGACACGGCTCCTCTCAACCATCATCAGCGACGATGGTATCTGATAAGCATGCGGACACAGTCAAGATGACCTCCACCGACGATTCTCCCAGGCCCGCTCGAAGCAAGAAGTTCGTGTCTATGATCGGCCTATTGGTTTACCCTGATGCTGACCTTCATGACAGGAAACCGGATGCTTATGCTCACCCTCTCTCTGATTCTGAAGATGAGGAAGTGTTGCGTGCACGTATCAGGTGTGCTATCATGCTTACGTTGTTTATACACTCTCAGTTCTGAAGCGCAATCAGTGACGGCGGAAAGCGCGTATCGCATGCTGAACGCGGTCGCAAGCACGACAGGTTTGCGCTTTATCTTCTACCTTACAGAGGCTTGGTTCTGACGTTGCACGCAGGACGCACGACGTGGATCCGCAGGTCTTGTCTAATCCGTCTGCACGGCGCAGTAGCTATAAAACGCAGGGGAGGAAGATGAGGTATGGCTGCCTTAAATCTGTATCAGATGACACCGATCTCAACTTTTCCAGGCTCTCGGACGAGTCTGACTCGGACGCATTCATCTCGCACAAGAAGAATGGTACTCGTGCTCAAGAATTCTCTACGTACGTCCGTCGGGCTGTTTTTACTTCCTTTTCTGATAGGGATTTGTAGGCCCAGGAAATCAGGAGGTCGACGAGGTCGCGACTTGAATGTTGACGCTTCGAGGTATGCCGCTCTTCTTCCCTCTCTTATCCGACCTTTCTTAATCTGAAATACGCATAGCGACGATGGAGAAGAAGGGGAACGGCAGCCGCAATCCCCTGTTAAAGTTAAATCAACCCGTGGATCTGGCCGAGAGGTATCATTCAACGTCTCGAAGGCGTGCGTCCCTTCACACCCGTTATGTGTCCCATGTACTCATAGTTCCTGTTTAGATATCTATCCCCCCCTCCCACCAATAGGAAGCCTCGGAAGGTGCCCGATACACCTCGTGGTCGTCCCGCTCGCAAATCATCTCAGTGCGACGTGGTCTTCTTTCCCTTGTTGAACATGACCTGATCTAGGTTTAGGTTTTCTCCAGCACCGCGCTCTGATAGTCCAGATGACGGTCACCAGCTCTATTCTTTGGACGCATCTGACGGGGAAGACTTCGTCCGAGTCAAGACAAGAGGACCGTCAGTATTCATCGCCCCCTGTCACTTGTTTCGTGCTCCTGACAGATGGATTCTAGGACCGCGACTTCACGTGATGTATACGAAATTAGCAGCGAGGAGGACCTTCCTACGCGCATAACCCCGGCAAAGAAGGTAGGATTGTAGTAAGTGCCTTGCAGTCCGTTCTGATCATTCTATGTCAGACCCAAGTGGATGACGCTGTTGATGACGATCGCTCTCGTGCTGGACGTCAGGGTGATGACTCTGACGCAGACCATAACGGCAACTTGCGCGGCTTTGTCGTCTCCGATGATGATGATATTGTTCGTACCCCGCGGAAGGGCAGTTCTCGCACAAAGTTCGTATTGATTATCATGTTCACTTCCAAGACTGCCGCTGATACAAACCTCAGCGTCGACTCGTCTGAGAGAACAGTTAAGGCTGTTACCAGTGACGGCAAGGAAATCCGACTAAGGCGCAAGTCGTGAGTCGTTTCTGTACATATTGCTTTCCTCAGTCTTACTTGTCATTAGTGACGATGCATCATCTGGAAAGGGAAAGCGCAAAGCCCGCTCTCGATCTCGCGACAGCTCTGACTACCTTCCATCTCCTAAGAGATCTGTAAAAGGAAGAGCCGTTGAGGGTCGCGGAGAGTTAGTGACTCTCGCCAGATATGTTATGTTCTTCGTACTGACTTCTCTCGGATTTTTTTAGGAAACGGAGGCGTCGTTCGCCGACTCCGTACCGGGACGCAGAGGACAATCTTTCTGTTAAGCGTCCTCGCCGAGCTCCCAACGCAGGAATATCGTCAGTATTTATATTCTATCGCTTGTCTTCTCATTTATCAATTATATTACAGTGACGATCGCCAGCCAGCGGAGGCTGCTGTGGATGAACAGACCAACAACGCTGGCTCACCGGATGCCGTGCCGGAATCGCATGACAGGTCCCCGTCCCCGATTAACAACGAGCGCGCGTCCGCGCCCAAGGGCGCTTCTTCGGCAGTCGCCGCGCGGCCTTTAGTTAAAGACGTGAGTCCTTCGTTTTATGGTATGATCATATTCTCATTGTGTACAGGGGAAATGCAAAGTTACGAATGAGGACGATCACGATGGCTTTCTGTTAGGCACCTACGGAGATTGCGTTGCATACTCGAGGTTCGCTTTTACGCATCGCGTTCAACCACATTTTCTCAAGCACACTTTTCAGTTTCGCTCTGCTCAAAACTCCTCAGGAAACTGGCGCTGTTGGGGTATCTCACTTCGGCAGTAACCACAACGGATTTCCCCGCTTCGAGTCCGGCAACTTGTCTTTGAAGTTTGTTCGCTTTTCCTAACCTCCTTCATATGTCATTGACAACTTTTTAGACGGCTTCGCGCGATGTTGAAGTTTACTTCTTGCGCGAACGGAATGGTTGTCAACCCCGCACGCGCTCATCCCGACCAGATCCCTGTCGGTCTTTCCACCTACACAACTACCAATAACAAGACCATCAAGAGCATCGCTAAGAACGGCGAGAACGTGGACCTCGTCATATATGCTTTCGTCGCTCCGGACGGATCTTATCTTGATCGTCTCGCGAGCCCTTCCGGCAACAACGCCCCCGCTGACAAAGGCTATCGCGCACTCAACGTCTTCCCTCTCAATGGGGAATATCAACGCACCCTTGCCTTCATGCATCACGTGCTATCGCCTGCGAATCAGCAGTGTCAGATGTTCACCAATGGGAACGCCTGGCAGGCGACCAGTATGTGGGGCGATCGTGCCAAGTTCCAAGGTATGAACCCTTGCGCCCTTCCAACGTCACATACTCATGACAAACAGGACGTAAACCTCTTCCTGAACACGTTCGGGTCAACACTGGAGGCAGCACCTCGATTGGTGCTCGCGGTGTTCACCCGGGTCTTGCACGCGTTGCCAAGAGTTTCAACGGCGATAGTAAGCAGCTTCTTGTCCGTTTCGTGATTACGTGCTGACTTGTGCAGTCCCGATCTTCGACAGCCGCCGCCACTTCATGAACTCTCACGTCGGTGACGACTGGAAGGAAGGATTTTCAGTTGACAAGATCCTGACCCAAGTGGACGGCTTAGACGAGCGATTCAGCGGCGAGATTCCCGACGATAGCCTCATCGCTATGCATTGCGTCGTGTCGATGCGCTCAACCGGTGCCGTCTCACTCAACCTCGTCGGTGCCCAGGTTTTGGTCACGCCTCGTGTTGTTCATTTCTCCGATCTTCAGTAAGTTTCGCGTTGTCTCGACCCTGTAAACTTTCCCTTGCGACATTCTTGGTCTCTTAACACATACTCCAAAAAAAGAACGAAAACCACAGAAAACCCTTATCCATGTATTTATGTCTGGCAGAGAATAATGTAGTCAGCCATTACTAGGCTCGGCGCAATATACCCTTATCCTGCTTAATATCGGTCCCGTCTGTGTCTGTGTATCATCTGGTACGTCATTCCCGTGTCGGAATTTTTTTCCCCCCTGTCTCTCGACCTATATAACATGAGCGTTCCGAGGACTCATCACGCGGGCCCACTACCCCTACTCCATAGTCCGTGCTTTTCCGCTGAGTTCTGTCGCGTCTGATTCGAGACATCGTCCTGTCATAGAGCGCGAGTTTCGTGACAATGTCCGATTCCGAACATGTACGCATCGACCTGTCTATTATGTGTGCGGTTGCCGACTCACCAGCACAGGCTCATTTACTCTCTCTCCCTACCGAGATTCTCGTCCGGATACTTCCGTTTCTCGACGCCTCCTCGCTCATGGCGCTGGCGCAGTGCTCTTCCGCGCTAAAGGCCGCCGTGTGTGTAGCTTGGCGAGCGCGAATATACCGGAAGACCGAGCGTCACGTCAGCGATGCACCTTTGTTTTACGATGTCCTGGAAGGCTTATCTGGTGTCGTTTCCGGCTCTACCGCGCTGTCTGTGTTATTCGGAGGCGATGTCGACGATGGCCTTCCGGAGTGGGCTACGGGGAGCGACTTGGACGTCTACGTTCCGACTTTAGACGCGCAGGTCACACTTCTTCAACATTTACAAGAGCGTGATGAATATATGGAGGTACCTCTTGTGAGCGAGGTCGACGACAGGTACTGGGAGAATCCAGCGGTCATTGCGTCCGTCACACGGCTTGAAAGTCCTCGCTTTCATGGGAACATCGACGTCATCTGCGCACGGGGCGGCTCCTCAATTATGCCCGTCGTATCCTTTTGGAGCACACTCGTCATGAACTTCATTACGAGGTCGCGCCTCGTAGTGCTGTATCCGCGCACGACGCTTCGACTGGAAGGGTATTCCAACCCATCGTCAGACCCCGCGAAAGTGCTCGCGTGCTCTCGCAAGTATAGCGCGCGTGGCTTTACTCTCCACGACTTCCCTCACTCCCCCGATGGGTGCGAAGGCGTTCGGGGTTACTGCCCTTCAATGCTTCGTTATACGGAAGACTCTCTAACTTTGACAATACGTTGGAACGACGACGCGCCTGAACCGCTCGTTCAGGCCAGATCCCCGGCTTTTGGAGAAGAGCGTTTTGTAGTACAGCCTGCCTTTTGGACTTGGGGGTCTTGCAAAGCCCAGACGGACTATGCTTTCCCTGCGTACTCTATGAGGCTCTTGTGATAGGGATGTACCAGAAGACATACTGAACATGAATAAAATCTTACTCCATGCGGCATAGTGCAATGATCGCCTATACACCCACGAAAGCAACTGTATTGCTCGCTCTGCGCAGGTGGCTTGTGACTGTGTCCCACGGGCTTGTCACATTGAGTCACTTGGCAGCGTCCTGCGACACGTTTCAGCTTTCAACCGCCACCGCCCTCCACACCTGTCCGCCATGAGCACCCCTGTCGATGGTCCCTCTCCCTCTTCGTCAGATAGTTTGGACTGGATTAAGAATGTACCGCCAAACACGACTCTCGTGGACAGGGGTCTTTTCGAGCATTTCGACTGGTGCAAGCGAGACGGCGACGACTGCATCCAATTCCTTGAATTTGGAGCGCGGGTCCAGAAGGACTCAACCTTGCTGCGCGCGGCTATATCTTTGATGAAGAGGTTCATCCCTGACAGTGAGGGAGGGACGCTGGGTCCTGCGTACTCAGAGTACCCTGCGCTCCCACTAATGGCGACTATGATCGATCACGGGATCGCTGCTACTGGGCGTTGCGCTGCAACCCTTAATCTAGGGGTGAGCTTTGATCTGCCCTGCTCTGCATTTCCTTCTGAACAGGCCACAGATCGTGAACGTCAGCCTACGCTCAATCTATGTCCTATATTCACTGTACTCCCTCCGTCAACACGCCATGTACTACGACGTCATCTTGGGATACATGGGAGAGTACGTCAAAGAGGACGTGCTGGAGAGCTTGCTTGTGGAAAAATCGAAACTCGCCTACCGAAGTTCGCACATCGTCCGGAACTTGCGTGAGGTAGACGTCGTGGTCGGAAGGCTCTACAACGATCTGCAGAGAAGACGTCTGAGCGATGCCATTCTCATCAACGTGGCTGGCTTGTGTCTTCGCATTTTCGCATCGCACACGGAAGCTAGAAGGTGCGTTGGTCTTTGCAGTGCGGGTTCAACTGCCTGATGATAATCCAGCACCGCCGGTTGTGACGGCGAAGACGCCTTTTTTATAGGGCTTCGAAGACAGGGGTCCTACCAATCATACGAGTTTCTCCTACGCGGTATGACGTGGCGCGGGTTTGGATGCACTGGGGCCAATCTCTTCGACGTCATAAGGATCGCGGAGCTGCAGACCGAGCCCTTTGAAGGCATGCAGGTTCAGCAACGTGTCATCCGACGACTGTTTACGCGGTCACTTGTGTCGAAGATGAGGTACAGTCGGGTGCACGAGCTTCTGCGGTTTGCTCTTCGAAATCCGTATACCGTATGGCACGAAGCCGCCCGAGTGTGTTTGTGGTGCGGTAAGAACAACGTATGTAGACGCTGCACACATTGCAAGGTTGCTCTGTATTGCAACGAGGCCTGCCAGCGCCTGTACGTCATCTGTCTACAACTTATCCAATCCTCTCCTGACGTATCTAAATAGCGACTGGCGGCGCGCTCATAAGGCTGCTTGCTGCATCTATACTCTGGAGACACTTCCTCCTTTACCGCCGAGCTCAGATGATGACAATGATGCAGATGCTGTGGGATGCGAAGATTCAACAGATGAACAGGCGTTAGGTGCAGATGCTGTTGAAGATAAAGCCTGCACATCGTAATGACGGTGCTCAAGGACGTGGTTCTTACTAGACTCGGCTGTTCACATACAAAAATGTGTATCTGTATATCCTTAACCACTACCTGCACGGCGAACTGTTGCCGTACTTCATCCATGTTCGTTTGCTTACTAACGGTTACCCAGTCCCGCTTGCCAGACGTCTGAGTTATAAGTCACAATAGCTGTACGGCTTCATCACGATGTATGTTAACCGCCTCGCCCTGGTGGATGCCTTGGCGCCATTGCGAAAACTGTCAGTTCGTGGATCGATCTCGACTACGGTGTAAAATAGGTGATTAAATATATTTGAGCTTCAATCTCTTTTTTTCGCGCGTTGTCAAAGTCTGCCAGCCATATACCCTATCGTAGAAGTATCCGGCACTAAAACCTCGCAACCAGACCAGCGCCAAAAGGTTGGGGAAACTGCAAATGCTGCGCTCTTGAACGATGCGGAGTTGGCACGACAGCCAGAGGCTGTATCCGTACTTCGGGTGTCCCACGAAAGGCTCAGGCACTGTGGATCCTCGGTATACCGCAAGGTTGATGGACAGCAACTATTGATGTCCGTGCAGTTTTCCTCGTTGTGCTGATAGGCGCTGACATTGAAGCCCCTCCTCTCGTATTTTTGCTGGCAGGTCTGCGTTCGTTCGACAAGTGTACCGTCATTTGTAAAACCTCTCCCCGCCAACGTCTGTCGTGGGTACAAGATAACGAGTCTTGAACTGGTGATGAAGTTCATAACGAGTGTTCCCCAGAACGCGGGTAACGCGAGTGTAGCTGCGCCTCCCGCAGTGCATATGACATCGACGTGAGTTGCATATTTTGGGCTACGAAGTCGCGTGATTGATCGTATGCGGGCAATGTCCTCCCAGTACGCCTCCAGGTCCTTCTCTTGAAGTTCAGCTTTCTCGTAGCCGTCCGAGGCTTGCAAGTATGCGACAACATCTGGCAGCGATTCTTCGCTACCGAGGTATACGTCGAGGTCGCTCTTCTTCTGCCATCCTCCAACGTTATCCCACTGTGAGCCGGCAAGCGCCACTGCCAAGGCCGTAGATCCGGAGATTATCCCCCCAACTTCTCCTAGCTTTTGAAGTAAGGCTATGGGGTTGGTGACGTGCTTCCCGACTTCGCTAGCGACCCTGTTTCGTAGCTCCACTTCTGAAGCGGCGCGAAGTGCAAAGTCTGACTGCGACGTGTGTACGAGTGATCTAGTATCGAGGAAGTGAAGGATTCTCCCCACGAGTTCAGGGGCGAGGTTCTTTAGGCCGGTTGGCATTGTCTAGCCATGAGCAGGTAAGACTCTTGCATGTGAGTTAGAGCAGTTGACGTACAGTGTCGCTCATCACCGTTATTGACTTATCGACCTCCGTAGTGCGTGTGGCCGGGGGGTCGGCAGCGTGCGTCTTTCCCTTGTCCGATAGCGATCATCTATAAACCTCTCCGTCGAATTGAAATGCTACATTTTCTTCCGCATCGGAGACCCACCGTCTGACGCAGTTCTCAATCGTGTCTCGTTCTGAGCAAGATCCGCGGATTCGGCCTTCTTGCTCCCGGCCGGGATGCGCCGGCCTTCAGTTTTTGTCGAATTTACTTTCAAGTGCTCTTAAACGATTAGCAAGATGAGGAGTCAGTTGGGAGGCATGGTGTTCGTACGCTTTTCCGTTTACCAGGCTAGAGGGCACGTTGCGCAGATATAAGTCCGTTGTTACTTGGATTTGCCCCCGCGACCCTGATCCTTTAGTGATAGCCCTCCAGTTCTCCACAATATCCTATCGAGCCGGCATACAGGCTGTTGCCTCTGATCTGCCCTTCTTCATACAACAATTTCTAGATTTCAAGGAGAAACCGAGACTGCTCTAATCACAAGGCATCTTGCGCGTACAAGGCAGCGCGGGCTCATTGATATTGCCGACGTGCGCATATTGACTCCGCCGCTAGTATGGCGGCCGGAACTTGCACAACTGCCTCGGTCAGTCTGTTCGACTTCTATGCAGGCGGAAAGGGTCGAACCCGTCCTCTTCTCGGCAACGCAGCATTGATACCAAGACGACATGCATGGCATTTCAGTCAGACTACGACATCCGTGGGGTCCCGTACGTTGTGCCGTGCGTTGGTTGTCACTATATCTGTACTTTTTTCGGCAGCACGATTCAATATATCTTAACTCGCAAAACTGCCTGATTTTTGATTGCGTTCGATTTTCCGCCTCCGAAGGTGCGGTAGCCTCCACTTCTATGTCCTCCTTTGTGCCCAATTTTCCCCAGTCGGAATGGGGAGACCACGATCGTTCGTTCGTTTAAGCGGGAGTGATGTTACAGAGCTCGCGACACAAGCGTCATACTCAACACAAGTAGAGAGTGCTCCCGCGATGACGTTCAGCACATCTCGAATGGTGTTGGTAGTCTAAGTGCGATCTCGGACCCGCTAACATCGCTCCCGTACAACGCTCGTTCGCGCCGTGCCCTTTGTCAGACAGGAAGATCTGACAACCGCCCAGGCGTCCTTGTAGAGTGCTCCCGCGATGACGTTTAGCACATCTACAGTTCCTTTCGGCGGTCACAGTATCCAGTCCGGCAGCAGGAACACGGGAGACGAGACGCAATCTCTGCGCTGGTGGTGGTTGGGGAGAGAGAACGAACCGGCGCGTGACGTGGCCTGATCTTGATGGATCTCTGATGGCTCACAAACAAAACCAAATAACAACCAAACCACGCCTCGCGTCTTTCTCTCCTCCCCCCACTTGCTTCGCTTCCTCTCCGTGTCCGTCAATCATGGCAGGACAGCCTCGTCGCAGTCTCCCGAGAGGCGCTAAGAAAAATGTCTCTTATGCGTCGGACGACTCTTGGTTTCCCGAGATCTCGCCCACCACCGCCCTCCACGCCCGGATCAAAGAGCTTAATCTACAAGCTTACTCCTCATGGCTCTACCTTCTCGCGGACGGGATCGTAGCACGTCTCCTGTTTTCTTCTAAATCAGGCAGTCATCGCTGGAACGCGGTCACGCCGGAGTCGTCTTTGCACGCGAAATACTTCGCCAAAAGCACAGTTCAGCAGGATATACGCAAAGCTGCGCCTGTATGCTACGGATTGACCAACCGGAACCTGGGCGACGATCTCGAAAGCGAGGTATACAAGGTCTGCACGTACTTGCTTGGAATCAAATCATTCCAGAGGACGGAGGCAGAGTGGCATGAAGTTCTTCTACAGTAAGCGATGCTCGACTTGTGCTCTCATACGCAGCGTGCTTATATTTTCAGTCTTCTGATGAGATACACAATTATGTATCGAAAGGACAGTCCTATCGCACACTGCAAGACGAAGCTAGGAGAGTCTATCTCGTTCGGCATTCGCGCGAAGCGAGATTTGTTGCCTGGAACATTCATTATGGAGACTTGCAGCTCCATGTCTAGCGATGTTGTCACCGATTCAGGTGCTTCAGTAATACAAAGTCATTCCAAGCAGAAGGGGCCGGTTGGGCCAAGATTAATTCTGGGTCCGTTGCAGTACGGCAATCATTGTTGCACAGCCAACGCGCGGGTGAGTATTATATCTCTCACAACACACGTGGCTCGTGTTGACTTAATCCTACCCGTAGATTTTTCCGATACCGGATACACATGCTGCCGTCTTCTTGGTCACCGACTTCATCAAGGCGAACGATGAAGTTACTGTCAAATACTCTGACAAGGGCTACTATAGAGACGGCTGCCTGTGTACGGCTTGCACGGGGATACCTACTACTCGTCTCTCGCCTCCGAAGCGTAAATTATCGACTTTAGAAGAGAGTTCAGCAGTTTCGTCCTTTGCTTACGAAAATGTGCCTAAGAAAAAGCGAAAAATCCGTCGTGGGCTCAAGAAGTGCTCTTGACTGTGAGTGGTGCGGGTTTATGCACCTCGTGTCTTTATACTCAACTCGGATTTGCTCGCTTTAGCATGGTGCAAAGCCGGTTGCTCGCGCTGCAGGCACACAATGGAGTTGAAGATTCTGTAGCACCCGAGGAGCCAGGCTCGATGTAATACACTTTGCATAGTGGACGAGATATGCGACTGCTAAGTCCGACTGGGGTCTCGCATTCTTAAGCCGGCTGAATAAGTAATTTGACCGCCCACGTTTGGTCCAATTGCCCCACCTCGTTTGTATCCCGTTTCTGCAGATCCAAAGTCAATTACATGCGCTGTAACTAATACGGGCACAGTCATAAATAGCTTTGGGCGTGTTTTTCAAGATCTCCACAGTCTGACTGTTCCATCGTCTGAGGCGGTGGCTACGTTTGAGTATGACCACGATATAGCGTTGATTTCGCCATTCACGGCATGCAGAACTTGTGCGTCTGGGCGATGTCGCTCGTCTTGAAAATAGCCCGATTTCTCCACATTGACCGCAACTACCTGCCCGTAGTGACCGCCTGCCGCAATCCAGCGCTTGCAAGGTGATATTACGAGGCTCGCGTACGGCGAGTTGGTGTTCAGGTTCCGGTGAGAATATGTCGTGCCTGTCGGGTTGAGAGTCCCTTGGTTGAACGTGTACACTCGTGAATCCCTGGCCGCTGCGATGAGAAGACCGTTCCCCATGTCGGCAATACCAACAAGCCCTCTTGACCGAACTTTCATCTGAGACGGAATGTTGCTCGATTCCAATGGCGCACTTGTCTTGATCACTTCCCTCGTTCCTTGCCTAATGTCCCACTTTCGTATGCGTCTGAAGTATCCATTAAACGAGCGTTAAACTTCACGCGCCATGAACTCACGAATCTCTGCTGCTTGTGCTGTAGAGGCATTTGTCCAGCGGGAAATGTAAGTCAGTAACAGTAGTGACTGAGTTTTCAGTTTCAGGTCTTCGGTGCGCTCCGTGTATTGTTGCAACTGGATGCATACGGCGCAGAGACTCAGTCCGCACATCCCATATACAAATGTTTCCATCTCTGCCTCCCGATGCCAGAAGGTTAGGGTCTGATGTGCACCATCGTAGAGCCTTGATAGTGCCCGTATGCCCGTGTAATGCGGCGCGTTCTTTCCCGCTTCTGGTATCAAGAATGCATGCGCTACCGTTCCCCGCTCCGAGTGCCAGTTTCGTGTCGTCTCCACTCCACGATGCGCTGAACACTGCCGCTCCATGCGGGATCGACGTAGGTCGGTACGCGCCTGGTGACCCTAGTCAAAATATGCGCACAACGACACTCCATTTTCTGTACCTATGGAAGACGCTAGCAGTTTCGACGAGTTTTGAATTATGTATATTAAACCATCGTTCGTTCCAACTGCGAGTTGGTGGTCAACCCCTCTCGCCGCACCTAATCGCACGCTGATGTTAGCCTGTAGCGTTCGGTGGAATGGATCGTCCTACCAGTTGAGAACGCGCAGGCAGTTGCAGGAGATGTATCGCGCGTGATGTCCATCGCCAAGCAAGAGAACTTGTCTGCGTGAAAGTCGGTATAGAACTGTAGCTGACTGTACATGTGATGCCCTGCGCCGCCATGAGATTGATCCCACTGCGTACGAGCGAAAACTCACGAGCAGCATATGACCGAGAGCCAGACAAGTATCGTGCTCTGTCACTGGGTATCATTGTCCTAGTGTAATGGGGACGAGGGCGCAGATCCTATGACAATTTTCAGAGGGTCTTGGCTATATATCTTGTTTCCGCGACCCGTGGGAATTTTGTCGTCGGCGACGAGACGGCTCTCGCGGGAGACGGTCACATGACCGAGCACGTGGCCGATGTTCGAGTTGCGGCGCTCCCCCTCGCCGCCTACTTCAACTCTCCCACCTGACACGTTCGATCTGACATCTTCTCTGACGCATGGAGCCCTTACAAGACAAAATATTTACGCCATACGACTCTATTCGCTCCCCGTCTTTCTATGAGACAAGGGTGAGGGTCCGGCTGCTTTGTCTGCATACATACACCATAAGCTTCGTTACCCAGAAAGGCGGGTACACAGGTTTTCATTCTACAGACAAGACCGTATGGACTGCGGCTGAGCTTTATGATATGGGATTCACTGAGATTAAGTGGAGTGGATGGTGAGTTTACAGTTTTGCAGGCGCTGTCCGGTTTTATAACCTATTGCCAAGGGGCTCGTTCGCCGTGCTGGACTCTACAGACACCATTGCGATGGTAATGGTTGGGAAGCCTTTGCATCTCACTCCTGCTGAAAGCCTAGAGTGGGACGACCAAGCACGCCGCTTTGCTCAAAACGTTGAAAGACGCCGGGCGCGAGACGAGAGGCCTTTCGAAGGCAGAGCAGGGCATCACTCGAGGGGCGACTTTGCAACA